TTCATGATGGTAACCTGATAAATCTACAGTAATGAGAAGAATAAAATTTCCTTCAACATTTAGTAAACAGTATGTGAAAGTGGGAAAACCATTCTTGATAAACTTGAGTCCAGCCTTAGTTATGAACAGATGCAGCTCATATTTGACTACCTTGTCATCACGGTACAAAGTGTGCACAATACCATAGCTAGGTGGTACTCACAAATATAGAAATCATGATATCTAATAAAAGACAACATAAAATTTAAGGCTGCAACTTACTAGTATTAGTAAAACTAAGACTCATCAACGTCAATAGTGCAATACCTTGGATCTAGAACAACTGCAATGAGAAGTTAGGAAGAAAAATGGAGTTAGGGTTAGGGATTTTTTAGTATTTGTATTAGAGAATTCGGTTCGGTTTTTTCGGGCGGTTCAGGGGTTCAAACCGAATCCGGACCGGTTTAATTCGGTTCGGGCGGTTTAGAGTCTTCTTCTCATCCATTTAATCCGGTTCGGTTAACCGGCCCGCTTTTTCGGGCGGTTTTTTCGGTTGAACCGGTTTTTTTCGGTTTTTGCCCACCCCTAATGTTTGCTAGGTTGCAAAGCTAAACTTTTTCCATGGTACCCAAAAAACTTCATGAGGTTCCATTAGACTACATTGAAGTGTCAATTAGGTATGAAGAAGTCTAGAAAAATAGATCTAGTTATCTAACAACTTTTTTATTCTATAGTAAGAAAATTTCACATGTTATACAATGTAACATTCTTCAAATTCTTTAATCGAACCTTACTTCCTAACGAAGAGGGAAAGCTGTGCTAAAATGCTTATCAAGTAGTATCAGGTAGTTTAAGTCTTGACATTGTCATCTAGGTTTATCATCATGCTCATAGCAAGGAGTATATTTTGTATTGGAGAGATATATAATATGTACTATTCTCAAAATAAGCTAGCAAAAACAAACAAACAAATAAATAAATAAATAAGATTTTGATTATTTGTGTTTGGATATTGTCACTTGTAGCAAAAGGTTAAATGGACACTTGAACGCATAGTTAGGATGCGAGTACCTTTGGTTTGCAATTTTGGAATTATGAGGGGCAAAGTATCTAAACACCTTGTTTCGCAAAACTTTGTTCCGCAAAAGCAATCAGGTTCGGTTTTTTTATATATAGTGATATGGTTATCCATTAGTCCATAACCCCACAATAAGAAAAAATAATACCCCCAAAGCCATTGCAATGCAACATCCTTAAAAGACTCAAATTACTTCAATCCATTTACTTAGATATAGAAAACTAAGAATTAACTCTCTTCTTTCATACATTAGAGACTCAGTGTTGCTTGGTTCATTGCCAATATAGATAGTTCACACAAAGATGTATTAGTTGTAGTACAATTTTTTATTAATTGTTTATTTCATTATTGCGATTTATCAACTGATATGCAAAAGAGATACGTCATACATTAAAAATCACAAATTCGAAAGTCCTTGAGAGTTAGCCATGTGTTAACTGGACAGCTCATATCATGTGACCAAAAGAGCCGACCCAAATATAGACACAACCCAGCAACCAAGTCGACCCATCAAACAGTCTCAGTCTGAGTTTAAAGGCATCTTCAGGCCGGAATCTTTCAGAAAAAACCCAAGTACGAGTCGAAAGACATCTTTAGGTTGGACATCACTAGAGAGTAGGGGTGTCCAAAAAGCCCGGAGCCCGGGCCCGGCCCGGTGTCCGGCCCGGGCCCGGCCCGGGCCCGGAAACCCGGGCAAAACCCGGGTCCGGGCCCGGGTCGCCGTTGACGAGCCCAGTCCGGGCCCGGAACAGTGCCCAAATTGGGCACTGGAGCTTCGAATGGCCGGCCCGGCCCGGCCCGGCCAAAACGGTCACAAACGACCTTTTGACCGTTTTGCCCCTTAAAACGGTCAAAAAACGGCTATTTTTCGAGGGTTTTTTGGTCAAGGGGGTTGCTTCTATAAATAGAGGGGGGGTTTCAATTCATTTCCTCACAACAAAACTCATCTATTTCTCTCTCTACTACTCTCTTATACTATCTCATACTAATATACTATCCTATAATCTTTTGTAGTTTCTAATACTTCCAACAAATGGCTTCTGGGTCTGATTATGAAGAGCAACATGCAACTCCTACCGATCCAGAGATGAGTCCTCCTACAACAACTCCTCATCCTACCGGTGTTAATCCTGAATTTGGTGGCGACGAATCTACGGCACCAAGAGCTCCAAAAAGGCCGAGGTCTGATGTATGGAATTTTTTTGAGAAGATAGACGTCACCAAGGATGAACACGATAGGATTCAAAGTTATTTTTATTATTTTTTGTACTTGTAATTTATGTCATTTCATTTCAAGTTATTAATTAAATTTATGACATTTTTTATAATAATTTATGATTTATGGTTTTGTTAAAATTTTAAAAAAATAAAAAAAAATTAAAAATATCAAACCGGGTCGGCCCGGTGTCCGGCCCGCTCAGGCCCGGGCCCGGCCCGGACCACCTGGGTCCGGGCTTGGGTTTTGCCGGGCTTGGGTTTTGCCCGGCTCAGGCCCGGTTTCCCGGGCCGGCCCGGATGGACAGCCCTACTAGAGAGTATTAGTCCCAAGGCAAGGAGAGGAATGTCTGACAGCCTCGTCAGCACTGCTCGCATTAAATGCGCAACCAGGTGCTATGATGAATCATCGGATGACGCCCATACTTCACCATCCCATTGCTATCGCATTAAATGCACAGCCGAAGGTTATATTGACTCCTCGAAAGTCGCCCATACTCTGCCATTCTGTCGCTATCACGTTAAATGCAATAAAAATGGCTCCTCAGGTTCGCCCCTACCAATTGTCAACACATGTAAAGTGGAAGTAAAATGTTAACTTTGTTGATTGGATTGGATTACCAATTTTCCCCCACTCTCCTACAAAATAGATGTTGTTTCCACCATTTTAACGTCTGGACTATCTACCATGAACTAGATTCTGCATTTCTCTTCATACTGTTTTATCAGTCATTGATTTGAGCGTCAGAAGGTAATGTTAAGAGAAGATGAGGGGACCTGTGACGTCTGCTACTTTTACAAAGATCTGCTTCTCAAAGTTTATCAGCCATCAAAGGAGATCAAGGACCCCTAATCTTCTCCTACTATTACTCTACTTCAGTGGCGTAGCCAGGATTTTTTTTTTTGCCCTAGGCGAAAAATAAAGGTGGACTACGAATATGTCGTGAATCAAACTCCTCTACCATTTCTTTTGTGTCGAGGCTGAAAGTAATTTCTTTTTCAATATAAAGTATCATGTTATTAGCAAGCAATTCATCTCCCATCTTGTTGTGCAATGATGTTTTTATGAGTTTTATTACTGAAAATGCTCTTTTCGTGCTTGCAGTCAAAACAAGAAGAGTCAACACGAGCCGAATCAAGTTCTTTTATAATGTACAGTGCTGGTTCTGAAATACTAATTAATTTCTTTTCATTTTGCTTAAGCAACTTAGCTCAGTTGCTCATAAGAGGTTAATAACCGTCGTCACAAGTGTTTACCTTTGAATGACCCCTCCACACAAGATGCAATTTTTGCATTAGGCAGCTGCCCAGGGCAAGCCCTTACTGGCTACGCATGTGCTCTACTCACATATTAACTTTTAGATTCTACTCACATATTAACTTTTAGATTTCTATCATAACCGCAATCAATCTGGTTATTTGCAACTGTAAATAAAAAGATTGCAGTTTCAATGAAACAAATAACTAGGTAGGATAACTATATCTCTTTTTTACAAGCTATAATTATAATTGCAATTTTGCATTGGACAGGAGGAAATTTTTTTATAGAGGGCTCTCTATTCAAAATCATATATAGGAAGCAAGTAAAAGCGATACATGTACCACCAACCGCTATCGATTTGATCACAAAAAACGTTATAAAGTTGATGTGTCCATGTAAAAATCATTGATCTTGGTTGGAATTCTAAAAAAATGGCACGGGTTATCTTGTCCCATGAATTTTGGATCCACAAGAATTACTTTTTTCTCATAGATCCCTTAACCTCTTAGGGAAAAAGAAACCCTATAGAAAGATCTCCTTAGAAAATCATATATATGAGGAAGGACATTATCATAAATACTGTCCAGAACATATTTTAAAGTTCAAGACCATATAATAAATTAAGTAATTTGCTTGTATGGATATAGTATTGATGATTGAAACCAATGCGATATTCTGCTTGCACTAATGATGTATTGTAAATATAATTATTAATAATTAACGGTCTCTTCCTATAGGATTTCTATAAGAATCATCCCGATAGAAATGAGATGATATGCACCATAGATAAAATAATCCTAACTCTTAAACTAACCCTCTAACCGCATAGACTACTCCTTTCTATACTTCACATTTAATTTTCTATAGCAAATCCCTTCGGCTAAATTTCAAAAACACTCCCATAAATTTCAAAATACCAAAAAGCTCTCCCTAATTTTTGGGGTTATCAGAAAAACCCCCTTCAACTTTCTACGTTTACCAAAAACCTCCTTAAAAACGTAAACCGCAATTTTCCTAGCAAAAGTATTCCTCTACAAAATTTTACCAATCCAAGTGAAAATTTCACTTAATGAGGTTAGGAGGAGTTTCATTAAAATATATATTTAAGGTTGAAGGGTTTTTTCGATATATAATCCCTAAACTTAAGGAGTTCCTCCAACATTTTGAAAGTCGCTGGGGATTGCCTGGTAATCGCCCAAAGTTAAGGGGCTTTCTGAAAATTAGCCTACCCTGGCCGACATAGTTTTAACTTGCGTACGAAGGCTCTGGAAGCGGATCAGCATCACCGCTCATTAATCTCCTGTTCTCAATTCAAAAGATGGCTAAATGCACCCATCCGTTGACCATCCACACTAACCCCGCCACGTGTCAAACTCACCCTACGCGCTTGACACGTACCCGCTTACAATTAACGCGAAGCATCCGCCTCTTCTTCCCCTCGCTTATCCGTCCGACCCCCTCTACATAAACGATCCACGTACAGCTCATATTTTTCCTACAACACCCGGTAAAAATCTTAATTTGCTTTTTAGCGTCTTGGGTTTGTTTAGAACTTTTAACGATATGGCGCAGCTGCTGGGCAAGGCGAAGGAGTTCGTGGCCGACCACATAGCGCATGTTAAGAAGCCGGAGGCCGATCTCTCCGACGTGTCGATCAAGGATGTGAGCAGAGACTCCGCCATGTTTAATGGAGAGCTTAACGTTCATAATCCGTACTCCCACTCTCTCCCTATCTCGGAGGTCTCCTACACCCTCAAGAGCGCCGGCAGGTAAATTTACGAATTAACCAACATGAGATGGAGCTAGAGATTGATTAGGATTTTGCTAGTTGCGTTAATTTCTAGATATTTATTTGCTAGATAAGCTGGCAACTTATAATATCCGCGTGTGTCACCGGGTCATGTTTGATTACAGGACGAATTCTCAAAATAACCCCGTTTAGAAACTTATTTGCAAAAAAAAAGAACTATTTTGAAAATATTTGCCAAATTCGATTCAGTTTCAGGACTGAAACTAGATCGAATTTGGCGAAAAAACATCCAAAACTTCACGGGACTTCAGATCCCGTGAAGCTTAAGCCCTCATTACTTTGTTAATTAAGTTAGTAATGGTGTTTAAACTTCACCGGACTTTATTTGAAGTTCCGTGAAGTTTTGAATGTTTTGTCGTCTAAAACATTATATATATATGTTTATTTATCAAAATAAGTTTTGAATGTTTCACAAAATAAGTTTCTAAAGAGGTCTAAAACAAAAATTTATTCTTGATTATACATGATAGTCTATTTATCAAATTTGAATCATTATCCGACACTTTCTTTTCCCCTACATCAATCATGCTAATACTATCAAAGATACTTTATTTTCAAGCTCGCTCACATGGTATTATTGGAGCTCACTTTGATCTAAATTAATATGTTCAAACTTGCACACTTGAAAAGGTTGTCTTAAGGTGGTGGGGCTAATAATTATTCTGTGAAACGAGAGAATTTCTAGATTCTTTGCTTCCACGACTTGATTACAATCCATACTTTCTTACAAAATTGATTTTATTGTAACCTTTTTAATATTGTAGGGTTATCGTTTCGGGCACGATGCCGGACCCGGGATCACTGACGGCGAACGACACGACGAGGCTCGACGTGCTGATGAAGGTGCCTTACGATCTTCTGATCAGCATAATGAAGGATGTGGGGAGAGACTGGGATATTGACTATGAATTGGAGGTCGGCCTTACTATTGATCTCCCTATTATTGGCAACTTCACTCTGCCCGTGTCCAAGAAAGGAGAGATGAAGCTGCCTACTCTCTCCGATATCTTTTGAGCTTTTGAGTTTTGTGTGTAGGCTACAACGGAATAAGTAATAATGTATTAAATCTGTATCAAGTGTTTCGCATTGTCTTGTTTATGGTGTCACATGGGGTTTTTTAGTACTTCGGAATTGACAGTAGCGAAATTGCGGTACAAAATACTGTGATGAAGTTAAAAGTCAGCACCTTGGTATTTGAAAAATATGACTAGCTTTACATTTTGTGCGCAAAATTAAGTTGTGCATGCTGCAATTACATGAGACTATATAAAATGAGAGAGTAAAATCTCACAACACTAATATTACATGAATTTTATTCAATCATTTAGTTCGGCAGAGAACTGTATGTGTATATTATTTACTGTATATGTATATTATTTAATCTTGTTGGGAACATGTTTGTGTGAAAAGTTGATTTCATTGAAGAATCCATTATAACTTTGAGCGTTATAATAAATTCAAGAAACTAGTCTTTTTATAAGATTTTTAATCAATAGTTACAACTTTCTTTCATACTACACACAATAGTAGTTTTAACTCCTATTGCTTGTGCGGGATCGTTGACGGTATCGGGGTTTATCCGTGGACCACCTACGGATCAGATCCGGTTAGCAGAAGAATTGACCAGAGCTCCTACTTCACAAAGAAAGTATCCGCTGAAGTATTGATATCGATCAAACGAAATCAGTACTCTTCTCGAGATTAAGACCAAGCCTAATCTCAATGAACGAGGGTACATGGCTTCGGATCCTTCGAAAGACTTCTTCTTTATGCTGAAGTTCACCGGGATCTAGTTAGCCTTTTCTGAAATTTCGTGCTCCTTGACTCCTCAATCCAGCAGCACCTCGTCCTCTTGATGAAATTTTAGATCTGTAGAATGGAGGCCTTAGGCTTATATTTATAGGGCCTCGGTTGCGGGTATTTAGATAAGAATGAGAGATTTGGCTTTATCTTCAGTTAATAATAGCCTACCCACGTGTAGAGATGATATCAAATCAGTTAGGAACACCTGGAACAGGTAAATCCTGCGAAAACCACTTAAACAACTGTCGAAATCGCGTTTGGGGCTCGGGATTGCGCGATAGGCACTGGTGACCCGCGTGGGCGAGGGTCACCTC